GATGACAGTTGCGCCACTATTCCTATGTCGGTTTCGTACAACTATGGATGCCCAAGATTTAAGGCTATCACGTCTAAATGTTAAAGAAAACGCCAACAATTCGTCTTGCATACTTATTCTCATGCATGTGCAATTGGCTGTTATCCTGACCTCCAAACGATACCCGTACACCTTGTTAGTACTATTGTTCATGAGGTCTAATGTGTCTCTATCCAGTTTGTGGCAGTTCATACTTAAGTTTGGACAAACGCATGTACATATGTTGTATTTGAACTACCATTGGACACGGATGACGCCAATCCATGTATATATGTATACCGAATGAATTCGACGAGGATACTCATACCGCTTTTGTACGGTCAACTTAGTGCAAGGAAGCGGCACTCGGGCAAACCGAAAATAACATTGCCAATACATGAAGGTGAGTTTTTGACGAACTAATGTTGATTTCAGATGTTGCGAATCAAAGGCAAAGTTGATCGGTGCGAATTCCGTGGACTGATCAAGAGGGCGGTTGCCCAGGTGCAGAAGGCACTATTGCACGCAAAAGAAAAGCACAATACCCACGCTCCCATTCGATTTACTAATTCAGACCAATAAGGCGGCGTATGTGGTACGTTTGCCTGCGTGATGAGTATTCTTGCATTTCAGAAGTAGATGTTGTTTGAGCTCCCCTTTGTGGCTGCACCTGATGTGAAAGTTGACATGGTGCCTCTCTGTACACTACCCTCCACCTCTATTGCTGGCTCCAGGAGATAGTTGATCGTTGCTGGAGGGGACGGGGTGCACCGTCCTCGTGACGGTGCTATGCTCAAAGAGTGGTTCCACGCAACATGTATGGAACGGGCTACGGCCCATACACCGCCTGTGTACGTCTGGTGTGCCGGAATGCTTCTGTTCTGCTTGTTGAATGAGTGTGGGCCGGCTCCGTTGATGAAACGTGGCTCCCATCCACATGCCTCCCGGTCTTATTCCTTCGGGTTTACACTGGATATGGGGTGTGTGGTTGGAGTTGTGGCTGGTGCAGCGCAAGTCACCCATGGTCCCTTTGTAGGCACAGGCGTCCTGTGGCTGTCCCCCTGGAGTCTACAATGACAGGCAAATCCGGATGCGGATGCCGCCAATATATATATATATATATATATATATATATATATATATATATATATATATATATATATATATATATATATATATATATATATATATATAGTATGCGAGATATTGCCATTCCGGGGCCATCGGCTAGATAGCGTATCCAAAGCAGCGGAGCAAATTCAGGGCATTTTGCCCACTGGGTGCCGGTGCTTTATTGCTCAGTGATACGCCTTTTGTTTTGTCGGTTATCAAACAGGGTCACAATCCTCCCCACAGTTTCAGCATCACGTTACTGGAATGACGTGCCCCACTAGAGTGAAGCAAGCGACAGTGCCTTTCTTTAGTGGGGAGTCACATCCGCCACGGCGCAGTGTTGTTAGACGGACATATGGGGATTTTTCTGCGCAGAACGCTTGCCGGGTGAAAACTCACGACCTCTCAGAGCACTGCCGCCGAACCAGCCAGTTGGCACTATGTGGAGGCTATTCGACAAGCCAACCGGTCGAATATAGGTCCTGTGTAACAATGCTAATGGATTGGAGCGAATCTCTCCACCATTACACATCTCAGATTTTCAATAAGTGTAATGCCGCTATGGGATCTGCCCAACCCCTAGATTCCATTCAACGTTCTGTTATCTCTAACTGAAGTGTGTAACTACCGTGCTGACAATTATTCACTTTCAAGTGAATCGCGATCCAGATTGGGTTTACGTATCGTATTGCATTCATTCAGTGGGTGCTCAATTGAGCCATTGAGAGTGATCATTTGGTCCGCTTTTCTAGCTTACCATACCCTGATAGTCAACAAAGATGGTACAGCCTAGTGACGCTTTTCCAGTCAATGGAGTGTGATAATAATAGCTATGCAATTCCACGCCAACTCACCTGGCCGGACGAAGCGGAGCGTTGCCAAATAATTACACTAACCGATTATCGGAATATTTCAGGATACTTTTGCAAACCATCGCCATTGATGGCGTTTGTGCAACGTCATACTCGCCTTGATGATTAGAATCTATAATGCTGGCATCTATTTTACTCTGTTGTGCGGCTGCGAACTCCTACTTTTCAGCTGGTCAGACGTAGAGTGGGTAATTGCGTCCGAACGTCGGCGCCTTCGCAGTTTGTCTCATACCATGTGGGTTCACCGCGTGAGTAATGGACGTCTTCGGTGTCGCGTATTTGATCCAGGAAGAGCGAGAGAACCATTTGGCACTGTTATTTCTGACACTAAGCTCGGTCATATGTTGGTCATCTGTTGTGCGTGTCAACACTCCGAGTTTAGCGACATGCGTTGTTTGCACGCCGGGGGTGTTGATGAAGAGCAGAAGGGGGGGGGCAACCGTGTAATGAACACTCTTACTTCGAACTTGCTGTTGGTGAGTTCCCCCTGACTACCGCGCTGTGGTCCAAAAGACAATGAACACGTTTGCCTAGATACACTTGTTGCCATGGTGAAGAGCCGACCGTAGTGATGTCTGTATTGTGGGTTTCTTTAACCCCTCCAACCACTATCTCACTACTGGTGTATAGCAGGAATAGCAAAGCGCAGGAATATTAGTTGTTCTGCTTTTGACTTGTCTCTTTCTGTTAGGTCTATATAGTTATGTTGCGGTAAGTTAGCTGAGTCGTTTCTCACCTCCAGTTAACTTATAAGACGATGGTGACCCACTCGATTATTAGCTTGCTTCCTGTGAACATCCGCTTCACATCTTCTCAGTCGATTTGTGCATTTGTTACTAACACTTGCAACTGTACTTCACCCGCTATTGGGCATGCAGTCACCGCGGTGTTTTAGCAAGCATTGATTCGTGTACACTGTCATGAGCGTTGCACTTGGCTCTATCGCACGCTCAACGCCACGCGAACGGGTCGAACCGCTCGGTTGCATGTGTGTGTGTGTGTGTGTGTGTGTGTAGTGTTCCATTCGCACACACAAGGCCACTTATCTCATATGCGAATAGCCTCGGTCTACTGCATGCTAAGTATACTTTCAATGAAGTGCTGCTGCCCATTAAATTTTCCTTGTTCCGCAAAGTCATCATGACTCTCTTAGGCTTGAGGATGAAGTGAGGTGGGTTATCGAATACTATCACAAAAGGTAGAACGGGTTTATTCTCTGTCTACTCTCCGTAACTACACAGCGACTTTTTAACGCAACCCAACCGAACGTTCTGAAGGAGGTCACCGTTATGAATCGCTTAGTAATGATCTGTTCTCAGAGTTTCCAGTAGAGCGGTCTCGTCTGTTCCCCGAACTGAATCATGTTACTTTCCGTTTTTTTTATTTGTTCATCATCCGCTTCACCTCTCTGGTTAGACACACCAACCGTTGCGCTGGTGTCTCACAATTCTTGGATTACTTTCCACATTGTGCCTGTGGGCTATTGATGATGTTGGTTGAGATGGGTGGTTTTCGCATAAACAGGTTCCATCCTAACGTCCATCCGTGATCTGAAAGGCTAAAATTTTGTGGAACCATTAATCAATTTAACAGTGTAGTTCGCCAGGTGTTTAGTAACACCGCCTAGTATTTCTCTACATATTACTAATGCATACAAGTCCCTTAGCAATAGCTACAGTGCGCGATCTTTATGCTACGTCCGGCGCCACTGGCCACATCTCAGAGGAGGTCATCTCCTGCCCATAGATGAAGGCCTGACGTCCCACCATCTCCACAATGTATCAAACCTATGAAACGTCCCAACCGTCTTTCTGGTGCGATTTCCGGGGATTTTCTCACTAGAAGCTCTTCACTTATTCCCTTAACTGAGACAAGGCAACTTCATTTCACATGAGCATCAGTGATATATCAACTCAGCAACACATCAGCTTCTTCATCTCGAAATTACACAACAAAAACCCATTGCAAATACTTCTTACGACAATATTTTGTGGCCTAAGCACGGTTTCGAAACCATTCGTCCTTTCAACGGTGATAAGAGTGACACACACAGACTATTGGAAAGTTAACCGCAATTTACACGTATTTTATGTGGCGCAGCTACGATTATCGTCAACCGCAGGTGGGTCTGGTGGATTTACACCTATTCGGTTAGAGGCTAACTTAAGGTTGGTAGTAGAAAATCCTCTCTTACCATGAGAATCTCATTCATTGGGCTTGTGCTATGCACCAATCTAGCTTTGAGCTTGTAATCAGTGAACTTATGTCTTTCTTGATCGTTATTTGTGAGACTAGGGTCTCAACCTCAAGTCAGTTCGGTATTATTGACCCTGAAACCTTATCATAATGCAACCCATCGCGTTTCGTTTAACTTAGCTCCCAATGCGCTCTGGGAATGTCGCTAACCTGGCAACCAGCCAGCCAGTCCCACTAGTAGTCCAGCGGTAATCTGCTGTCGAGCGGAGTTCTTTGAATTTACCAATCAGTCTATCGCTTCAGCAAACTCACCGCCTGATCACTAGCATTCGCTACCGTCAGGATGATTTCAAAGGTCATCGATCGCTGGATCTTCAGCATTATTCTGTTGTTAATCCTTTGTGTCCTGACAGTAATTATAAGTACCACTTTGTTTAACTGCTAATATACTGCTTCAGTGCAAGCGTCATTACTGCCGGTACTCGCGAGGAGGCGTACAATAGCCTTCTGTCAACAATTAAATAATGACTAAAACTGCGATACTTCACTCTACAGTGTGTGGACTAAGCTATTTTGCTCCATGTCGAGCTATAGGTAAATTAATTCAGGACTCAAAGGGTTATGACACTAATATGACTGACACTGGCAATGCTGCTTCATTGCTGACTACCGCGGTATTGGTCTTTCTTATCGCAGACCAGCCTCTGAGTTGGTCGTTTTTCATGCAACTGCTTATGCTGGTTCACCTTTGCGAACTTTATTCGTCCTATTTTCATTTTCTTTTTAATCCACATCGTGCAGTCTATCAAGTATGCCTGCCTCCCGGCCCGGCCGGTCACCGAACGCTCTACTTGCCACACCGCCTCCGATTGCGGATTACCCGGTCTCGTCCGGGCGGCAGCGGTTGGCGCTCCTGGCTCAGCCGGTAATAACCCGGTGGACTCCGCCCTTGTCGCCACATCGCGATCCATGTGGTGTGTGTTCCCAAGCCCTCCGGATAACAGAACCCGCTTGGTTCGTCTGGAGCACAGTCGAAAAGAAGCTCCAGCCATCCTCTTCCTCGGCCCCTTGGACGATCTAATTGCCTCCGTGGGTGTGTCGGATTACATACCTCGTTGGCCTAATTTGCTCTCTGCTCGTCTTCCCGCTCTATGGACGATGTTTTGCACGTAAGTCCTATTCGTCGCTTGTCTCTTAATCGGTCTTTACGATGACCATTTGCTCTTCATTGCTGTAAGCGTTTCTGTGTTTGTGTGTTCGGTGGTCTGTCTCAGATCGTCAGCTGCGATACTACGACACCCGTCATGCATCGTGCTATAGTTTTGCCATTTTTGCACCAGGAAATGTGTAGTCATATACAATACCGACCCGTGACCTTGAGGATCACATGTATGCTTTGTAGTCTGAGGTTGTGGGTCTGAGCTTAGGTAGAGAATCGGTCAACCCGCGCAGTATCGCTAGCCTATGCGCGACTGGTGACGGTTGCGCGGCGACGAAGTGTCCGTATTGCTTACCGGCCTACTGCTGATGTCTCTCTCTCTCTCACTTTCACTGCATTTGTTCTTTCGCGATCTACAGTGTCTGAATGCGGTCGGCGCCAATGCCGACAAGGCGCCTAATTGCTGGCCTCCACTATCCTGATTACTGGCTCCATTAGACCTCCAATCATTACTGTCCTTGTGTGGAACACATCCTTTACAACAGTATTAGGCTGAGACGGACTACGGTCTGGCCATCGACTTATGTGCGACACATGTTTCCCCAACATTTACCTCGCGGTGATGGGCACGTTGAAGAAATGCGTGCCGGGTCTGAAACAATCGTACTGTATGCACTCCGCATACTTGTGGATGTGAATGCTGCAACGCAGACCGAGCATGTTCCCACTATCGTCGCAGAAGTTTTTCGTGAGCGTTCCTGGCCACGTGAACAGATAAGCCCAATGAAATAGACGCGAGGTTAGCTCTCGATCGGGTTAAATCACGGGTGCTCCGATTGCGTACCGAATTGATTTGGTACGTAGTTTTGGTCTTATTCATCTCAGATGTTTTTGATGTCTCATAATGCCGAGAATAGAGTGGATGGAATTGCAATAGGACCGCTGCACTCTCTGCCGCATACGGTCTCCCATTTGGCAAGGTAGCATACATCGACGCAGATCAGCCCTCTGTCCGGCTCTGTAGCTACGATACGAAGGCTAGACTAAGTAAATCGTACAAGACGAAAGTTGCAAACTACTACCACCTACCTCGGAACAGCCATGGACACAAATCGATCACATCGCGATCAGATACCTCTGGAGAGGCTGCATCCAAAAATGTCGCTCGATTTGGAGCACGAGGGTGAACTCCGATCATGCTCTTGTGTGTGCCGACTTTCAGGTGCGTTTCGGCGGACATCCGCAACGTCGCTGTGACCGCATAGACGCCAGTGAACTGGCGAATCCAGGTGTTCTGAATGCCTATACAAGTACGCTGGCTTCCCGACCATCAGCACTAAAACGATTGAGGGCTAATCGCGTTTCTGACCTCAGCCCTCGATGAAGCTAATTGACTGTGCTATGGCTCGGCCTGCACCGTTTGAGCATAATGAAGTTCACGAGCGGTGGGCCAAATACACTGAGAAGTGCGCCTCTAATGCGCCACGTGACGTTTCTGTTGGTGTCATTGACGCATGAGTTCCTGAGGCCAGTGATGCCGATCAGTTGCGGGACTTTACGATAATTGTCTAGTGCTCCCGCCTGTTCCATTTCTTCAGCCCTACTGATCCATCACCCCCCCCCATCAGTACTCAGGCTCCGCTTTTGTTCGCATATAATAGTCTGTCTGGTTACCTTGTGTACAGAACTAGCAGGAACTTTTCAGCCATCTTTCAACAGATTCACCACACCTTTACTTTGCGTCAATTGTTAAAGCATCGCTGCATTTATTGGTGATCCATGGTAGTCGTGTCTCTCAACATCAAAGGTGCTTTCAATTCGATTGATCGATGTGCCCTTTGGGACTGTCTGCTGAGGAAAAGTGTGCCTGATAAATACGTAAACATTATCATATCGCTGTACGTGCATAGTTCGGGCAGAGTGAGGGTCTATGGCAAACTGTCGCTACCCTCCAATATCTTCATCGGTGTAGGACATGGGTGCCCGTTGTCACCTTTCCTCGTTCACTTCGCTATTGACGAAATCATAGAGACAGCGTTGGCTGGACACGAGTTCCAAGGTGTGGACCTACTTCCTGGTGAGCGTCCTCTTGACTTGGAGCATGCGGACGATATTGCCCTCATCTGTGACACTCCCCGAACGTGCCAAGCTGCACTGGACAGCTTAGCATTGGCTGTCACTTGTTTTCCTCCAGCGAAATGCAAAGTTCTTCTTTAAGATTGTCAGGGACCTACCCCTGCGCTGACTCTTGGTGGCGATCAGCTAGAAGTTGTCCAGGGGTTCACCTATCTGGAAATCTATATTAGCGTCAGTGGGATTGGAAATGAGATTGCGAATCGTGTAGCAAAAGCCCGAGGTCCCTTTGCCAATCTCTGCCACGTATGGCGCCGACGCGACATTACTCTAACCGTGAAGGGCGGACTTTGCAGTGCAGCCGTCCGTTGAACCCTCCTATACGGTTGTGAAACCATCGGATCGGCACATAAATGAGGCCAGTCACGTTCGATCATCGCTGCCTTCGCAGCTTAGCTCATGTCTGGTGGGAACACCGTGTGAGCAATAAGCGTGTTCGACGTCGCGTATTTGGTGCAGGAAGAGTGATTAAACCACTCAGCACCGTTATGTCACGCACCAGGCTCCGATAGCTGAACCATATGTTGCCCATGTCAGCACACTGACTCCCGCGACGTGCGTTGTTTTCGCCCCGGGGGTCTGGATGGAAGAACAGGAGGGGAGACCAATTGATAACTTGGTCAAAAGACATGAAAACAATCACTTGGAAGTTGGCGTCGATTGTTGTTTCCTGACTGCCGAGCTGGAATCCGAAGGACGAAACCCACGTTTGATTGGGCGCCCTTGTCGATATGGCTAGGAGCCGGCTCCAATGGCGTTTGTATTTTAAGTTTCTCTGTCCACCCCCTCCTCTTTAACTTCTCCCTCCATTTGCGGCCTCATACAAAATACATAATATAATATTTAGCACATTTTGCCCGCTTTTTGAATTTCTTGTGTTTTTTATATATTTTTCTATTGCTACTTTTTAATTGAGGTGTGTTTCTCACCCCCCAGCTAACCTGTATTGGTAATGCCTGAGCAGAGAAATTAAACGTTAATTATTGTTACCCCGCCTTAAAGGCACTAGGCAACTTTCGTATAGGCTTATAGTCGTAAGGAAAAATAGCAGACACAGCAAAACTTGCGACAGCGTGGCAGTTCGGTAGTCAGTAGTCTATCAGTGGCGGGACATTTGACCTTGAGGATACTATATTTTGCTCTTAGTGTAAATTAAAACGGTAAATCTGTGCTAATGCATATACTAGAAACACACATGCGCACTAGTATTATTATTATTATTATTATTATTATCAATGCACGTTAGATAATGGAAAGATACACTCTTCAACTATCGTGCTACAATACAAAAGGATAAAATACTAAATGTTTGCATCATGTAAAAAGTAAACATCAAGTAATCTACTGCCAAGTATCATGTTATTTACAGAATCTGAGATCGTGATTGTGGGGAGAAGCTAAACAGGAGGGAGGGATAAAAAAACTCACAACACAAATGCCATTGAGCTGGTCTTTTGCCATGTCAACTAGCGTGTCTAGCCAAACGTGTTCTTACGTTAAATCGTGCCTGTCTTAGTGAGGATCGAGGGCTCTAACGAGAAACGAATTACTTGCTTTTGTCCGCTTGGGAGGACATTGACTTACTAATGAGTAGTTGGGATTTTTGGTATACTTTCCGAGGAGGTTCCTCACAGTTCACTCCCAGTCAACAGGCTTCGACCCGTCTGGAAAAGCATCAGACGGCTGTTTTTTAGTCAACTGTCAGTCATACAGGTCCGCGGCCATCACCCATGGCTAAGTGGCACAAGCTGCTGTCATGTGAAAATCCTGGGGTCGGATCCCGGCAGTGGTCCGATAAAGACGCACCACTGACCAAACCCAGTAGGTCTCAACAGCCGTCTAGTGCTTTCCCAGGCCTTTGAACTTACACACAGTATCCCTACTACCCATTAGTAATCAACATTGCGTCCGTATAGCTTCTAATTGCTTTGTCGTCCACAGTCGTTGTGCGGAAAGTCCCTGCCTCTTGGGCCGGCCACTATCCTCTATGTGATGGGGGCTGGAAATACTGTAATTCCGATTGAACGTCACAGACCAGACCGATAGGGTGTGAGCATGTTGCCGGAAGCAGATTGGTCAGCCAATCAGGAAATAGTTGGCCCGTGACCGCGTCCAGCCTACAATCTTTCACTGAACGTACAAGTGACCAGTCAGGCGCCAGCATGCGAAAGAGCGCATACTCGTACACCCTTGAGGCAAGACTTGTGGCATTGGACCGAGGGAAGAAGCGCGCAGGCCTAATCCCGTCAATCGTACATCTACTAGGAAAGTCAGGGTGATTTTGGACAGAGTGGATCTGGCGCGCAAGCATAAACCAATGGAAAAGGAGCCAGCGACATAATGCAAATAACAGGGAAGAGTCATTGAAACTGACTGTTGTAAATCTTGTATATACTTTATAACTATTCCAGCGTAATCTTACTAAACGACTTTGTGATCGCTGCCCAGTCTTCTTGCTTCCCAGAGGGCAACACTTCACTCTACACAGTTCGTAACCGGCGTAGCACGGGAGGATGAGCAGGGCTATATCGTAATCAAGTGTCAGTCATGCAGACCCGCGCCCGTCACCCACGGCTTAGTGGCACAAGTTGCTTGCTTCCGGACGTCATGGTGTCTAAACGCGGCAGGGCTCCGAGAAAGCCGCACTACTGACGAAACCCAAAAAGTCAAAATCACTGTCTGGTGCTTTTCCAGGCGTTTTGAGTCCTGTTGCATTAGAGGGGACTGCGACGAACTATCTCTGAAAGAACATGTACTTGTCGTTTAGATTACAGCGCCTATCAAAGCAGGCGGGGCAGGGCCAAGAATCGGGTATTTGAAAGGAGGGGGGGACAACAGCGAAGCTGTAATGGGACGATAAGCGTGAAAGAGCGTAAG